GCAGGGCGGCCTTCTGAGACGGCGGGTGGCCTTCTCCAATGGGGCGGGTGCTTCTGAGGGGGTGGCCCAAGTTTGAGCAAGGACCGACCGAAATTCCTATAGGCCTACCACGACATGTTCTTTAGAACCCAGAAATGCTTGAAGCACAGGAACAATGTTTTCAGAACATAACCCCGATATGTTCAAACAAAACAGTCTCAGCCAGAAATGTTCTAAGACATTTTCGCGCAGACCAGAAAAGGCTCTTAGAACATTCTTTGAGGGGCTTATGGGGAATCCATGACGCCTCGCCACTGCTTGACAGGAGGGGGGTAAAGACAGGGGCCCAACAGGTGACGTTTAGGGCCCCTTTTGGGCACCTGCTGGCTCCCAAAGCGGCCATGAAGGCCACCTTTCGGGTCCTCTTCTTCACCCCCCCTTTGGGTAACCCCCCCATTACCACCCGCCCGATGCCACGGCGCCAAGCCTCCTCCGAAGCCCGCCTGGCCTCCAAGAAGCCTTCTTTTCGTGAGGCCGGCCCCCCCGCGCCAGTGACAGTCGGCCCGTATCATTAGGTCGGGCATGTCCTCCTACAGGCGGACTTTGGAAGAACAAATGGCCAACAAATGTACGAAAATAGGCAAAATAGTAGAAACATCGTCCCCATATCATTTTTTGACTACTTTTGAATATTCCTCCTGTAGAGGGACATGCCCGACTTAACCGTATCAGAAGGATGCACGATACGGATGCAAGGGCCTTGGAAAGCCATGTCGACACTTTGCGAGTGGGGCGCGGCCAGCGAAAGCGGTCGAGGATGGGCCGAGGAGGCAAGGATGCAAGGGCCCCCCCTTGGGCAGGGTGCCCATCCTTCCATTGCGGGTCGATCGTACCTGCCCCCTTCCCAGACATCGGGTCGCTTTTGCTCGATGGGCCCCCGCTGGCGGCGCGCACCGGGGGGGTGGGGGCACGGGGGAAGGCTTCTCAGGACCACCCCTGCTTCTGAGAAGGCGCGGGCCTCGTCTGTAGATGTAAGGCCGGCGCCTTCTGAGAAGCAGCCTGCTTCTAAGAAACCCTCCCCCCTCCACCTACACGATGGGCCCGACCACAAGAGACCTTCCACAAGGAACCCATCCCTGAGACCCAGGACGTCATCTGATTTTTAGTGCGGGAACCTCGCGCTTTCCACAGGGCACCCTGGAGGCAGGCAGGGTGCCCCCTCCGCGCGCCGCCGACCCCAAGCAGGTATCAACCCGCTGGCCTCCAGGAGGCCCAGACAGGGGGGAAAATCTGGCCGTCCTGACTCTTGGTGAGCGTTTCTGTATTCGGCGTTTCGACATTGGGCGGAAGGGGGAGGGGGAGGGAGGGGGTCTGGCTCCGGACCTCTGCTTAGCGCGACTGTTTGCAACAGTGCGTCCATTATGGGGGAGACTCCACCTGCTCGAAACAGACGCCAAAAAACAGCCAAGATCTACTTCAGGGGAGGGGGGGGGAAGGGGGTTTTGGGGCCCGCGCCGATCGGCAAAACAGTGAATGAAAAAATGATCACTTGCTCGAGGCGCGCCAGGATGACTGGGCCTTGTTGTTGTGCGCACCCAGCCTGCGCGGACTCCTCCACCACGCGCGCCTCGATCCAGCCTCGGCCCCTGGCGCAGGCCTGGGAAGGGGCTCGAGCTGTGCACGATGACGTCTGGTCGGCCACGAGAATCAACGGCTAGGACGCCCCAGCTTCCCAGCCTTTGGGACGCCGAAGCGCTTGCACATCGATACTCAATGGCGCTTCTCTTCGCGTTGTGTGCTGCGCGGAGCGCGAAGAACTTCGCGCTCTCGCGCCGCCCCCCAGGGAAGAAGAGGAGGTCGAGGAGGAATATATAGGCCTTCTAGATGGGGTTGGAGTAGATGAGGTCGGAGGATCGCGCCGTATCGCAAATACATCGGCGATACATCGCCGATGTATCGGCGATGCATCGGCGACGCCAGCGTGGAGATAATCGGGCTCCACATCGAGCTGCATCGCCGATGCATCGACGACACAGCGCGATCCTCCGACCCCATCTACTCGGACCCCATCTATGAGGACGAGGAGGAATCGAAGCCGAAGCGCGAAGAAATTCGCGCCCTCGAGGGCGCCCTTGTGCACCGAGCCCCTCCGAAGGCCTCGCCCTCGAGCCCCACAGCGGACCGCCAGTCGCAACCCGGCGGGCCCACGGCCACGCTCTCCAAGCACGCCGCCTCGGCGGGCGCCGGGGGCGGCGGCATGGGGGCGTTTGCGAACGCTCGATCGACGCCGGAAGGAGAGAAGTCTCGGAAGAAAACGTCGGGTCGGACGAGCGGGGGGGATAACAAGATAACAACGGGGGGGGAAGGCCAGGGATCTACTGACCCGGGACAATACAAACCCGGGTCAGTCAGGGCTTGCAGGATCCTGCAGGATCCCGTGCCCAAGCCCGGGTCAATGCGACCCTGCCTCTGCAGGATCCTGCAGATCCAGCGCTCTGACTGACCCCCGTTTGCATGGACCCCCATCTCAAGGCTCCCGGGCAGGGAGTCAGCTCACGCAGCCGGTTTCCTAGGTGCCTCCCAGCGCCAGAGGCGCCAGTGTATCGAGGAAAGCGTCCAGCGGCGGGGCCGAAACCAGCTAATTGGCTGCATGCTGCGGGTTTCGCACCTCCCCTTTTCTTATCCCCCCTTGCCGTCCGACCCGAGGACAGCTATACGGATCCACCTCGTTCCACCAGGAAGAGAAGGAACAATAGGAGGGGATGAGGAAGGTGGGCCTGTAGAAGTGTTCAGTTCCTGGAATCAAACACAACCGTTCGGGGGCCCGCGTGGATTTCTGGGATCGGCACTGGCCCCCTCTCCAGGGGCGGCACCAGAGGTGTCGCCATGGGAGTCCAGCGCCGCTCCAACAAGCGAGGACCTCCGAACGTCCACAGTCATCGTGCTACCCTTGGGAACACGAAAGAAGGAGCGAAGGGGTGCTGTCTTGGCCACGGTGGTGACGATTGTTCTTATTGGAGGTGGTGGGAGTTGGACGTGTATCTAGTGAAAATGAAAGGGAAGTGGCCACGAGTGGGTGGTAAAACTGGCAGGGGCTCAAACAAACCCGAAACACTTGGGATGAGGCCGCCAAAGCTGGAACACAACTACAGGGACACGTGGCCCTGGACACTTTTCCCGGCCTCCCCGCAAATTTTCGCAGCAGGGCGAATTGAGACCACGGCAGGTCACAATGGATCCCCAAACCCCTACCAAAGACCAAACCCACACATTCTCTGAGCTGCGCCCAATCGTGACGACGAGGGCCCCCCCCCGTTGTCTCAATTGGCCCTCGCCTTGTAAATCCCGGCGGGTCTGCATCCATGTCCCGGCGGGGTAAGGGCCCTGGCAGTCTGGGCGAGGCAGTTTGAAGACACTGCGTTTTGGCGATGCGCTTGCTTCGGCAAGCAACCCCCATCGCAATGCGCTAACCTCCTCGACTGTGAACTCATTATTCTGCTGCTCTGGCGAGCCTCTCAGCTGGCAGCCTGACACAAGACGCGCGACCGTCCCAGACCCCCAAGCGTTGGAGGCCTGGAAATTGGCACCAACACCAACACCAGGGGTTGTCTCCAAAGCGGGAAGATGCTCCTAGATTTCGGTGCTGGTGGTGATATGTCGGTCACCTTGGAAGCCAACATGTTACCACCATCACCGAGATCGGGATCTTCTTCCTTCGGCGGAAGCACACCGCCGATGTTGGTGTTGGTGTCACCTCCAGGCCTGCGAACGTGCTCACGGCCCTCCTCTGAGACTTCTTCGCCTTCGGGATGTTTGAGCAGGGACCGACCGTCCCGGCATTCCTATAGGCCTACCACAAACTGTTCGTAGGACCCCAAAAAGTTCTAAGAACAAAAACAGTGTTCTTAGAACGTACACCCGACGTGTAAAAAATACGACAGTGCCAGCCAGAAATGTTCTAAGAAGATGCCGTGCAGACCACAAAAGGCTCTCAGAACAGTTTCGGGGGGGCCTATAGGCAAGCCAAGGCGCCGCGCCGCTGCTCGAGATGTAGCTCAACTCCTCGGCGCCCCGCACCACGGCCGCCAGCGCGCCGGCCATGCGCCGCAGCTGCTGCGGCCCGAAGTCTGCGGCCGCGAAGGCGACGACAGTCCAGTCGGTCTCCGCCCAGGTGCTGGGCGCGTCGCCCGTGGGCATCGCTCAACCGATCCCCATCCCCACCGGCAGGGCCCTGGCTCCACGGGCGGGCTTGTTCCCCCAGATTTGGGTCGGGCATGTCCCCCTACAGGCGGATTTGGGGCGAAAAGTTAAGGAAATAGTCAAACATACTCAAATATACTCCAAAACATATAAGAACATAGTCCCCAGACAATGATCAACTATTTTTGAGTATTCCTCCTGTAGAGGGACACGCCGGACTTAACCGCAGATGGGGATGTATGCTGTCCCCTCCGGCTTTCGCAGGAGGTGCAGAAACCGCTCGGTTGTTTCCTGTGCGATTGCAAACATGTTGTTTGTTTGCGTTTGCATCTTAATCGTGAGATCCATAAACGGGCTGGGGGCTGAGACTGGTTTCCGTGTGCAGACCTGAAAACGGCAACAACAAACGCTCTGACACCAATGCGAAACACGCAAGGAAGCCAACGGTCCGTCCGCTTTGGGCTCCGACGATGAGAAACAGCATATCTGAAAACGCCAAAACAAGTATTAGTGTTTCGCGTTTTCTTATGTTTGTTGAGGCCTGGCGACGCTAAACTACACTTCGCTCGGAAGAGGTAGGTAAACGCATGATGTAGGAAGGCGGATCAAGTAGAGTGGGTTCAGGCCCTCCCAGAGAATAGCAACACACAGCAAAAGCAGATCGATTCTTGAAGTAGGACGGCGCTTGAAAGGGATTCGGATCATGGGGAATCCCAAAATACATAGAACTGCTTTCAACGACCGGCGCGCCATGACACTCATGCATTGCGCCCGATGGAGAACGCAAGAGAAAACGCCCACGCAATCATCACTCAAGGTGAGCCGAACTGATGGGGATGTAGGGGATCGGCTGGACGCTGCTGAGCCTGGCCCCGCATCGACTTGCCTCGCGGGCCGGCGCAGGTCCTCCGTGAAGCTCCTGTTGGTGCAGCACTGCAGCCTCCTCAGGGCGTGCGGGGCCCCGGGCCTGCCGCCCTCCACGAAGTTGTGGAACGACCGCAGCCCCCACTGGCCCCCCCGGATGGCCTTCGGGCAGGGCTGGTCGTGATCACCGCCGTCGCTCGTCAACGCTTCTTGTTCGGCGTTCCGATATTGGGCGGAAGGGGGGGGGGTCGGGCTCTGGACCTCTGTTCGGTGCGACTGTTTGGAACAGTGCGTCCTATGGGGGGAGACTCCACCTGCTCGAAACAGGCGCCAAAAACAGCCAAGATCTACTCCGTTGGGGGGGGGGAGGGGGGGGGCCCGAGGGTTCGGGCCGATCGGCAAAACAATGAATAAGAAAACGATCACCTTCGGGCAGGGCTGGTCGTGATCCTCGCTGTCGCTCGGACGCCCATTCCCTGTGCATGCTGCGGACTCGTGTGTTTGTTTGTTGGCCCGATGGTCGCGCATGCTCCTCGGAGGTGCTCGCCGAGAGCAAATACACACGTCCGAGCGACGCCAAGGACCACAGAGGCGGGAGGCCGACTCGCATCGGAGCGCGCGTCGGATCGGGCTGCACCGGCCCGGCATCGAGATCGGATCGGATCGGCTGCGCGTAGATGAGCAGCAGCGCCCTGCAGTTAGGTCGGGCATGTTCCCCTACAGGCGGATTTTGGGCGAAACAATCAGAAATAGTCAAACACACTCAAACAGAACCCAAAAATAGTCGAAAAGTCGTCCCCATATCATTTGTTCACTATTTTTGAATATTCTTCCTGTACAGGGACTGGCCAGACTTGACCGTAGATGAGCAGCATCGCCCTGCAAGCATCGGGCCGCATCGCATAGTCGTAGCATCGGAATCGCGTCGAGCCCGCCAGCATCGGGGCCGAGGCGGCGGCCACAGGAGCAGGCCTCTGGAAGGCGAGGGAGGAGGAGGAGGAGGAGGAGGAGGAGGAGGAGGAGGAGGAGGAAAAGGAGGAGGAGATCGAGAAGGGCCCTGCCTTCAGGGCGAGGCGAACGCGCTTCTGCACGCGGAGCTTGGCGTGCGCCTCCGCCGCGGGCATGGCCGCGACCCGCTGCGCCATGAACTCGGTGCCGTGGAGTTCCCTCGCCGCGCGGACGGCGGAGGCCGCTGGCATCCGCAGCACCGCCTGGCCCTTGCCCGCCTCTCGGAGCAGGGCTAGCTGAGACACCTGCAGCCTGTCGGGCGGGTGGTAATGGGGGGTGGCCGGAATGGGGGGCGCAGAAAACGACCCAGAAGGGTCCCTTTAGGGCCCCTTTAGGGCACCAGCTGGCTCCCTAAGGGACCCTACAGGGCCCCTTTGGGACCCTCTTCTTCACCCACCATTGTGGCCACCCCCCATGAATGACCACCCGCCCGACCGACAAATCGTATCACGAGGACGACCAATCCTCCGAGGGTGTCCCTGCCTCTCGGCAGCCCCTAAAAAGAGCCCTAAAAGAGGCCTTACTTCACCCCCCATTTGCGTCAGTACCACCCGCCCGAACCTGAAACTCGGTCCCCAGACCCCTCCTGGGCCCAAGCGCGCCAGCTTCCCCAGCCGCGTCCAGCCGTGGCGACGAAGGCCCCCCTCCCCAAGGCCCATCACCGACATCTCCACTAGCCCTTCTCAGACATCTGGCCGCTCCAATGTTCACGACGCCTGGGCCCCAGAGGCCCGGACCACTTCCCTGGGGCTGGCTTTTCGTCCGGAATCGTTTTCTGACGCTCCCGAGGCCCGGCGGGGGCCGCAGGGCCGAAAACTGCGGAAATCCCGCCGCGCCAATTCGCCTGGAGGGTCGGATCTCCGGGTCCTCTTGCACATCCTGGGGGGTTACCCACTGGTCGTTGAAAGTAGGTATTTCTGGAGTCCCAGATCCCAGTCTATTTTACTAGCCTTCTTACTTCAATCATCGAGTGACTTCACCTCTTCCTTCCTCTTTAGGAGGCGCCCTGGCCCCCACTGCACACCCAGGGGGGGGGAGCCCTGGCAGTCTGGGCGAGGCAGCTGCCGAGCTGCGTCCAGCCGTGCCGACGAGGGGGTGCCCCGAAGGCTAACTCTCCCGTCTCGACTCGCCCTGTCCCAGGCCTGAGGTCGGGCATGTCCTCCTACAGGCGGATTTTGGACGAAAATTTAAACATAGTGACGAACAATTCAAGAATATAAGAAATAGTAGAAACATCGCCCCCAGACTATGTTTGGACGATTTCTGGATAATCCTCCTGTAGAGGGACAGGCCCGACTCAAAATCCGACCCTCCAGGTCGACGTCGGCCTCCGCGAGGCGCCCTCGTTCATCCCTCCTTTTAGGTTGATGCGTCTCGCCTGGGATGCTCAGCCACGCTGCCTACGCCGTCGATTAGGAGCTGGGGGCGCTCTGCCAGGGCCATTTGCGAGCAGTTACTTTGCGAGCATTGGCGGCGCGCACAAGGGGGCGGAGGGAGGGGAGAGGGCGTCTTACAAGGAGGCTGCTTCTTAGAAGGCGCCGGCCTTACACCTGTAGCTGAGGCCCGCGCCTTCTAAGAAGCAGGGATCCTTCCAAGAAGCCCTCCCCCCTCCCCCCCCTCTGCGCGTGGCTGACAAGGAACGCACGCAACTACACATGCATCGACAATTAGTGTAGAACCACCCGTTTCTGCCATCGGTGGGGACGGGGTGCACCAGACCGATGAAAAACAACAAAACAAGTCCGAAAGAAAAGGAGAGAAGGAGGAGGAGGAGGAGGAGGAGGAGGAGGAGGAGGAGGAGGAGGAGGAGTGAGGAGGAGTGAGGAGGAGTGAGGAGGAGTGAGGATGAGGATGAGGATGAGGATGAGGATGAGGATGAGGATGAGGATGAGGAGGAACCCCTTTTTTACTCGACGAGGGAGCCCAAATGCCTCTGGAAACGGGTGTAATACACTGATTCGGCGAGCTGTCGCAGGCACGCTCCGTGCCCGTACTTTGGTCCAGCACGCAGGCCTGGGGCGAGCGCCCCCCGCGCATCAACGCGAGGAGCAGGCAAAGGCAGGCCGCGGGTCGCAGTATCTCCCGAGAGGGCACCGACGGTGGTGCATCAGCCTAGCTATCTCCGATGCATGGTGTCTGGATCTATTCGCCCAAGAATAGTTCACGACGGGAACTTGAAAAGAAACAATGTCTCCCCGCTAACCGAAGAGGTATGCCGCGGCCTCTTCATCAGCCTCATGACATTGCTCGTGCGGTGCCGTGCCGTCCGCAGGCTGGGGAGATGTGGAGGCATCGGGCACCGTGATGGCTGTCACGGAGTCTGCGCTTGAAGTTTCCCTCTTCAAGGAGGAAGAGGTGGGTCGGGGAGCCTGCTGCGCCGTGCCAGGCACGGTCTCACCTCTAACAAAGATGATGGGGCGGCGGCTCACGGTCGTCAGCCCTGCTGCAGCACGTCCAACCACGTCGCCACCTCGTCCTCCAGCCAGCCCGCGGGCATGACGCCCGTGAATCTCGTCGCGACGCCCTCCGCCTTGAAGGCGTGCGTCACCGTGCCCCTCATGGGCCACGTAGGGCCCGCGATGAGGAGCTTGGCCTTGCTCTCGTCGTGGGGCTGCTCGATCTTGATGGCCTGCACGTCCAACTCCACCTGCTCGCGGGTGATGGTCGGCTCGCCCGTCGTCGGTTCGATCTTGTCGAGGTAGTCTTTGAGCTGCTGGCGGCTCACGCCGCCCACGTCGCACGTGGCCAGCTTCTCGAGAAGGGTGACCGCCAGGGAGGCGGTCGGGCTGCCAACCGCTCGAAGCTGATCTGGTCCTGCCTCGCGCGCGGTCTGCACCTGCTTCCTGTAGTCCTCCAGCGTCTGCTGCAGCGCCGTGATGACCGGGTGTCCCTTCGGCATCGTGAACGTGTCGACCACCGTCGCCATCGTCAGGCGCTGCCGCTGCGCTGTCTGGAGGGATAGCTTGGCTATCGCGGCCAAGCACTGCTGGATGTTCGCGTCCTTGCTCGTCCACTTCTTCTCCGTGTGGCCGCCTCGGCGATGACGGCGGCCTCCTCGATGTCGTCCTTTGCCTCCAGCCTTGCCGTCGAGGATCTTCTGCAGCTCCCCCTTGGCGTCGTCCATGGCTGTGTCCCTGTCCTTGTCGCCCTTCCTTCCCTTCTTCGGGTCGGGAGGCTTGGAGTCGCCGCCAGAATTCCCAGACGCCTGGGAGGATGCCGCTGGGGCGGCCGTCCGCCACGCTGCTCTCGGCCGAGGGGGGCCTGGCTCCTGGAAGCTGCCCGTCGCCGCTGCCGCCGCGCCGCCCGACATCTTGTGCAGGTGGTGCTCGAGGTTCAGCAGGCGGTGCTTGGCGAGGTCGCAGTAGCGGTGTGCTCGCGGCTGTTACCCGCGAAGGTGCCGAGGTGGGTGGCCAAGAAGAAGAGGTCGGCGGAGGTCGAGCTGCCACTCGTCGTCGCACTGGTCCCTCTCGTGCCCGTCTCCGAGCCTGGCGTCGTGCTGCAAGTTGACGAAACGCTGCGCGCAGGTCTGCGCGAAGGTCGGGAGTGTCGTCCAGGTCGTCGAAGGTCGGCGGTGGCGCGCCTGGCCTGGGGGCGCCGGCTGGGGCGCGGGCGCTGTGCGCTGGCTGAGGCTGAGTGACTGTGAGCCGAAACCCTACGGATGTATGAGGAATGTGTGTGGCCAGGTGTGCCCGCAGCTCTGCTGGGTCGTCGCACTGTTCCTGGCACTCTGGTTGATCCGTATCTTCAGCCAACGGGCAGCGTGTCTCAGCAGACGGGGTCCAATCATAACAGTGGCGAGTGAGATTCTGAATGCACCTGCCTGCTCTCCACGCGCCACTGAGATGCCTCCGCGTGTGATCCACGCTGCCGAAGATCGTCTGGCAGCTAAGGCATTTATTGTCGAGCGTAATGACGGACAAGATCGGGGGGGTGCCGTGTCCAGGGAGCGTCGTGGCCCATATTTGGTGTTTGACGAGCTCCCTATTGGTGGCGAAACGTGCTCGGCAGCCCTCGATCCCGCAAACTAGCGGGGCCAGCTCGGCCTCGTCACTCTCCGTGTCCCCCACCTCCTCCCCCTCCTTCGGTAATTGTTCCAAGAGAAATTCAGGTGGGGCCCATTCGCGTGCCCATGCCGTCGTTCTCATCGCTCGAAAATCACAATATCTGAAAGCCTCGGTGACCTCAGGGTTCCCAAAGAAATTGGCCATCGTACGGGGTTGCCAGACTTCCTTGAGCTCCTCACCAATCGGGTGGGCCAGGGCCGCGTTCAGGTCCTGAGAAAACTGGAGGGCCCGCGGGTGGATGTGTGGAGACGGGTTAAGCTCCCCATTCGGCAAGACAGTGGCATCTGCAACCTCGTTGCCCGCCTCTCTGGCTCGTCGCTCAAATCGGCAATCTCCAAAGAAAATACTAAGATAATGGCGGTGGTGTTCGGGGTTCCCTGCGATGGACTGCCACCATCTAAGACGACGGACCATAAGCTCGATTCCAGTCGGCGGGATTCGCCACTCTTGGAAAATCTGCTTGGTCGTCCAGGATGTGTGCGTGCCGTCCTCGTGCTCAACATGCGCGCGCCCGTGCAACATAGCTCGCATCTTCTTGGCTAGTGACGTGTCGATGTCCTTAAGCTCATTCGTGGTAAGCACGTACGCCTCCAGACCCGACCATACTCTGCCCGCTACATTAGCTAGGAATGTGCTGCGCATGCTTCGCCAAGGACCCGCCGTGAACCAGTACTGCCGAAGATTGCTCCACCCGATAGACCCTGCTCTAATGCGTGCCCTGATCTCTCTTCTGTTACTGCCCTGAACGTGGATGAACCCGCCCAAGTGGATAAGGTTGGTCATGGCTTTTCCTGAGATCCGTGCCTCGGCTTCCTTCGTGTCCTTAGCCGTGGCCAGATGAACGAGGGTTTCCTGTTTGTCGACGTGTTGGGCGTACCCGCCCTCCTGAAGTCGCTTATCTAGGATGCGATTGTCCAAGTAATCTAGTTGCAACGCCTCCTGCACCGTGCCCGTGGGAACGATGATCACACGAATCAAGTCGTCGATAAATCCGCCGAACGAGGCATCAATATCTGTACCGCTGGGATCAGATGTGTCACCTACGTGATCTCCTGGTTCGTGTAAGGGGTCATGGCATAGCAAATCGTCGCCGATTATCGTGTTCAACTCTCGCTGCCACATACTAACAAGAGGGTAGAATGCATCCATGAATAGCTCAGGCTCGTTAGAGTCCCCCATTCTGCCCCCCGTCGTGGGATGTAAACTGACGTCACCATCGCGTGCTTGATAATATAAAATGCCCGTGCTCCTGTGGTGCGTGAGTAACTCGTCATAGTATTCGTCAACTCCCCGTGACCTGTGTGCGTTGAACAAGCGCTCGTGCATGCCCGTGCCAAAGGCGTTGCGCATGTCATGCGACTTGACCAGATAATAATGATGACACCGTCGAAGTTTCCACATGATGAGTTTGATGATGGTCATGAGTCCCTCCCTCCGCCTATGGATGATGCCGCCGTATGCCCAGGGAAGGGGGTCAAACCGACTGCCGAAATCTACTAGCCCGACACGTAACAGTACTCGCCACCAATGACAGAAACAATGCAGTATACGCAAGCATTTTGTAATGTCAGTGACGTCGTTTCCCGTCGGGGTTTTGCCTGGCTTGCCGATGGCGATAGCATGACTGACCCGGGCGTGCTGGGGTAGAAATGCTCGTGCTCGTATGTGTGCCAACAACTGTGCGAACGTGTCGCTACCCACCTGCGCGTGCTCTGAGTCAATGTTGATCGTCCTCCGGACGCGGGTCGTGGCCGCCAGTGCCTCGAAATCCAGAAGGTCGGGATCATGTCGTCTCCACGTGGAACCTATGCCTTCCTGGGAGTACCCTGGGCGGAACAGAAGGGCGGGAAATAGCAGCAACTTAGATATCTCGACAGGCCACGACCACGGAGGTGCATATCTACGATGGGTGCTGTGAAGGATCCTTTTCTTGACGAGCTCTAGGTCCTCTGCAGCCCTCTCGTGGTCCTCAATGGTCGGGAGGGCGAGTCGGGGTCCGTAGGCGGGGAGGTCCTCGAGGGGGGTATCCAGGAGCTCCTGAACGGCCTCAGAGGTCATGTATTTGCTCATGTGCGCGTTTGTCGTCGTCAGACCCCCCTCGACAGCTGGTAGGCTCATCGCCTTCCTGAAGTCCTCGGCGCTGGGGCGACTCGTCGGGAGGGCCAGATAGCATCTCTTCCGAGGTCCCATGTTGGTGCCCGCCCGAAGCCTGATGAGGTATCCCACCCGAGCCTGGTCACGAACCGCCCACGCCTCCCTGATCTCCTGTTCGAGCGACTCCCTCCTCCACCTCTCCTGCCATCGTCGATGCGATCGAAGCTGGCGATCGAGACGTCGGAGGAGACCGCCCGAGAGTTCGAACCCAAGGTCTCGCAGTTCGGCCCGCTGTCGAAGTAACCTCCTCCTCTCCTCCTTCGCCTCGGTGACCCACGCGGGCGTCGATCTCTCTGCCGAGAATACTGTCACAGCAGCCTGTCGGATGATCTGGGTGACCACCCCCGCGTGTCGAGTAGGTTCCCCGTCCATGGTGAGAGCTCGACACAAGGGGCGGTATGCTGTCCAGGCCTGGCAAATCTGACTCATGAACTCCTCCCTCCGATACCCGTTCTGCAGTGCTGCTGCTAGCCCTCCCCAGTCCCATGCACATCCCTGCTGCTGCTGGTGCGGTGTTGGTGCTGGTACACGAAACTGGAGGTACATGGGTACGTGATCTATCATGTGCGGGAGAGCCTGCAGCCGACGCTGAGAATTCCAGAACATTCGCATACGTACCCCAATCTGCAGAAGGGCCCTCGGGCCTAAGAAGTAATCAATACGACTACGAGCTCCGTTAAGGCCATAGTAACTAGGTCCGAGATCATGATGTGTGTTCAGGAAGGTCAAGTGGCTCTCTTCAAACTGCCTGCGGACAAAAGTGGACATCTCATCCTCGTGGCCGGCCTGATGGGGTCCAACGGTGTGATCATCAATAAGCTCGGTGCCTTTCTTACCCATCTTAAGATTCAGATCGGCGAAAATGATTGGCAATACACGTGCTGGGACGCTGTCGGCCTGCTGTTTGATCCACGAGGTAAGTTGCTTGCATGTCGCCCGCCAGCAGGGGGCGCGGCGTGCTGATGAACATCGAGGCGGGTAGTATCCCACGATAAGACGAAATCTCTGGGGACCTCTCTCGATATCTACACAACCCGCTCGCCCCTGAGGGTGTGGTGGTGGGTATGTTATACGAATAATATGTCGGGGCTGGTATAACTTTGCCGAGACCGCAATAGAGACGCCCGCCGACGCATTCGTGTTTGACCCACGTCCCCACCCCCAGTGTATCCAGTGGAACTCGGGGGTACGCTCATAGTGGTGCTGCTGGTTGAGCTTCATAGGGATTTTTGTTCCAGGAACGAAAATCGCCGATGCTCTAGCAAATTCAAGTCCCAGGCTCTCCGTACGACCTGTACGCATCAACGTGTAAGCGTTGTACCCTACGAAGGAGGCGTGCACAAGCCATGATGATGGTGTTGGTGATGGTGATGTTCCACATGGCCCAGCCGTCCCCGTACCCGTGGTGCCCGTCGTCTCACTCGTCCTCGCCCTTGCCCTTCCTGTGCTGCAGCCTGGTCCGTCGCTGCTGCTGCTGCTGCCCCCTCCTCCCTCCATCCCGGCTGCCCGCTGCCAGCACGCCCCGCCCCTAGCGGAGCGCAGCGCCGCCGCCAGCAGCGCGCTGGGCCCCTGCTCCTCCCCCAAGCGGGCCTGGCGGCTCGCGGTCGGGGGAGGCCATCGGATGCGAAGGCCGCATGTGGCTGCGGGCCTGAGCAGTCCGTGGCCTTGGAGGAGGAGGAAGAGGAGGAGGAGGAGGAGGAGGAGGAGGAGGAGGAGGAGGAGGAGGAGGAGTGACTGGCTGGGCGTCTCGACCCGCCCTGCTCCGAGCCTCCAGCTCGACGTCGGCCTCAGCGAGGCGCACGCCCACGCCGGCCAGCAGGGCCACGAGGTCCGCCCGCGTGGCGCCCCCGCGCACGGGCCCCAGCCAGAGCCCTTGGCACCCGGAGGGGCCGCCTGGCGGGCCGCGGGCCACGGCGCGCTCCCCGGGGCGGAGCAGCACGTGGTACGGGACGCGTCGGAGAAGACACGAAACGGCACCTGCCTCTCCTTTTCCTCCTCCTCCTCCTCCTCCTCCTCCTCCTCCTCCTCCTCCTCCTCCTCCTCCTCCTCCTCCTCCCCCCCCTCCCCCCCCTCCTTCGCGACTTTCGTGTTCCGCGGAGCGCGATTATACAATTATCTGCGGACCCTCGCGCCGCCCTGGGGACCAGGGCGAAACGCTCTGGCACAGGCCGCGACGCGCGAAGCGCAGCTACCTTCGCACCCCCGCGGGTGACCTAGTTCATGGGGGGCGTGCACTTACCGGGCCCTGGGAACGACAAGGCCGTTTCTTTACTGGTTCCGTTATGTTTTTTTTGCCAGTTCCAACATCGTTTTTTGACCGCTTCCGTCGCCACTTGTTTACCGGCTCCAGCTCCGGTTCCAATCCTCGAGCCGTTTTTTGTTGCTGTTTCTGGTCGCCGCTTCCATGTTCAAAAGACACTTTTTCGGAATCGGGGAAAAGACGGCCCTGCTGTTTCTGGGGCCCACTAAGGGCGTTGTGATTTGAGAGGGTTGGAGACCCGCTTTCCCCTGTTTCACTGGACTGACATGCTGACCTACAGCGCCGGCGTTTGGGCCCAAGTAAAATGAACGCCTATCCCCCAGAGCAGTAGCAGCGGGAGATCGGCTGTGATAGCAGGGCATCGGTCGTTTCGATCGAGTTCTCCGAGCTGGATCCCACCCCGATACGCTGGCTGAGACTGAACGAGGGAGGGGGCACGAGCGAGAACGAGGTTGGTAGCGGAGCTCCGTGGTTGGCCCCGCGGACTCCAGGGGAGAGGGCAGGGACTAGCCATCCCAACCAGCCAATGCGAGTGGAGACACATACAACAGTGCGGTGGATCCGAAGATACCGGTGCTGAAGGGCGAGTCTCTGAAGGATTTCGCCCGGTGCAAAAGAGCAGTGCAGGTGCAGGCGGCCGAGCTTGGATGCGAGTCCAAAGAGCAGAAGGTAGCGCTCGGGCCCGAGCTGTACCGCAACCTCCTTGGCGCGGACATCTCGATCAGCGTCCTAATCGAGCAGACGGACCCGAAGGACTCTGCTGTCGAGAAAGGCGCCGAGGTGCTGCTCAAATTCCTGGAGGCCGAGCGCTTCGCCAAGAGCAGTTTCCGTGAGCTGCCGAAGGCCTTCGACGCGATCTTCGACCTGACGCACTTCGAGCGCAAAAATGAAGAACCGATGGCGGCATTATGCACGGCCGTGGAAGTGGCGAAGCAAAACCTAGAGCCTAGAGGTGGACCCGGACACGAAGATAGGCCGGAACGACCTAGGGTACCACACTCATAAGCAGAGCGGGCTCGAAAAGGACGAGCGTAACCTGATGGCGAGGGCGGAGGAGACTTTCAACTTCATCTCGACGACGCTCAAGAATCTCTTCCCTCGCGATGGCAACAAGCACCGAGGATAGAACGCGAGGATGGGCTGGCGCTGGACGAGGAACGCACACGGCGGCAAGCCCGGACATCCAGACGAAGAAGACGCGCACTGTGGTGAGTTCTGGGTCCAGGACGATGACGAGTAATGGCATGAGTGGGATGACGAGCGCGGCGTCTACGCGCGTGCTGAGTATGAGGACGCAGACACAGACTGGGACAGCAGTCATCTGTTCTACATTGAGGACGACGCCGACGCCTACCTGGCAGGAGAAGATGACGAATACCACCAAACCCTGGTCTTTATGCGCGAGAGTCGACTGAGGATGAACAAGCTGCGGGCTGCCAGGGGACTCTCCAAAGGAAGGATCGACGGCGTCGTGGACGACAGCGCATCAGCTGGCGGCAGGGCATCCGGGAAGAGCTCCGGGAGGGGCAGGGGCAAGGGCGAGGACGGTGGCAAGTCGAAGGACAGACGATGCGGCAAATGCAGCAGGATGGACCACGCCACGTCCGAGCGCCCGACTGGTGGCTCCCCCGGGAAGTCCTCCGAGGGCAAGAGCCGCGGCAAGGGATCGAAGTCAGCCAATCGTCAACGACGGCTCGGATTCTGGGCGATGGGTGCCCTGGTCTGCGCGGTGCCGACATGCATGGGCGTCAGACGCCCGAGGCGCGGCCAGGGCGTCGCCTACGTGAGCGGGCAGCCCGAGAAGGACTACGACATCCTGATGGTGAATGTGGACTGCGATCCGATCGTGCTGGACAGACCAGAGCTCAAGGTGGTGATCTCAAATGACGTCGTGCCGGCTTACTTGGTGGACGACGGGGCCTCGAATGCAGTGGCGGAACGCGGGTGGCTTGATCGCGTCGAGGCGAAGCTCGCGAAATACGGCCTCGAGCCAATCAAGATGGAGGCTCGCAATAGTTCAAGGGACTCGGCGGAGCACGACGTGAATCGAAGCAGAAGTGGGTCACCCCGGTCGGCATAGGGAAGATGCAAATGCTGCAGGAGTGCTTCGAGAACCCTCGCGACATGGTCGGCCTGACGAGCAGGAAGGACTTCGCCGGGTGGAAGACGAACCTCTACACGCGCGAGGACGGCCACTCGGCGGACTTCCATGAGCTCGGGGTGCATGGCATGGAGCTGGTGAAGCTACCTGGCGGACATGCAGGCCTCGACCTCTTCGACTACGACCTCGAGTCGTAAGTGTCGGAGCCCCTCTACGAGAGGTTCCGCGCGGACGAAACGCAGCTCGAGCCGGATGCGTTCCTGGTCGCGGAGACGCTGCAGGAATTCGAGCCGTGCTTCCAGGTGAAGGATCACGCCGACTCGCGGGTCGGAGAGGCTCTGAAGAACGGCAGCAAGGGCATATTCAAGAAGGGCACGCTCAAACGGATCGACAAGCTGATGAAGGAGTATTCGGTCATGTTCGACGCGCTGCGCGACAAACAGGAGACCTTCCTGTGGGAATTTTGCGAAGGAGGCTCGCTTCACTCGTGTAGCCTCGAAGGGTGGTCATGCGAACGCGACCACCTCAGATTTGCTGGTCGGGGTTAACTTCAACGACCCCCAGACCCAGTCGGATTTTTGTTCCTGACAAGGGCCTTCGAGCCCTGGATGGTTTCGGTCGCGTTCCCATGCGCACCTTTCTCGAACGTGCAAGAGTTTCAACATACTCATGGCATGGGCAACCGGGTGGGCGATCTAATCGCGCTGGTTGGTTCTTCGGCCAAGGTGCGCCGGACCCAGGCTGAAGGCGGACGCGTCGGCATCGGCGAGAACCCTCTCACGAGCCGCGCGTGGAACAAGGACCCGATCATGAATTTGTTGCGTTAGCACGGTGATCGACCTCCACTGTGCGAGATGGTCACGCTGCGCCAAAGCATGTCCGGACTGACGTGCGACTACGGGACGCCGATTTGGAAGGCCACGCGCATGCTGGTGCCCAGTGGCTCGTGCTTCTCGTGGTGGCTCGACCGCGCGTGCGACGCGAGCCACGAGCGCGCCAACGCGGCCGGACGGGGCACGCTGCCCTCGCGGGCTAGTGCCTGGCTGGACGACCTGGGCAAGTCCCTGGCGAGTGCTGGCACGCATGAGCTAGCGCGGCGCACCGACCTGAAGAAGCTGGGTATCGGAGACGGCTTGACGATGATCCCGGACAAGCAGACCATGCGCACGGTGGCCAAGGAGTTCAAGCCGAGGAAGGACCTGATTGACGTACGCGTGCTGAGGCAGAACGAGGCTGTTTCCCTACCTCGCGGAGCTGCGCGGGGCATCTACGCCATGTACACTGACAAGGGCGTGCTAGCCGACTTCTCCGACGCCTACGCGGACGACCCGAGCTTCGCGACGGTCGAGCTAGCCACGAGGTGCCCAACCGACACAATGGTCGCGATCTACGTGAAGGAGCCGAAGGTGCAGACATACTTCCCCTCGACGGTACCCTTCCTTGGCAGCCGACCAGAAGCATTGAAGCCAGACGATCGCGAACCAGACGCAGTACATCGAGATCTACATCGCGAAAGCGAACGCTTCGGCGGCAAGCCTTCGGACATCACCACGGCTCAGTGGGGCGCTCTATGGAAGCACCACCGAAGCTGAGCCACCCATCGGCTCACGCTCTGAAGCGACGCCTGAAGTCCTACGGGGTGTCGCAGAAGGTGCTCGACGCGGTGGATAAGCTGGACTGCGGCGCGCGCAAGGAGCTCGCCAGGCCGAACACTACGAGGTCGGCCAAACCGAAGCTCTCGACGGAGTTCAACGAGAACGTGTTTCTGGTTGAAGCCGTGGTGATTCTCTCAGATAAGACACGGTTGATGGTTATGGTAATCCTGGATGACGCGTCGAGCTTCAGGATCATCATTCCTACTGCGGCAGTGTGGTCCATCACGGGCGAGGAGATCCTTCGCTGTCTCCGATGTTCTACTACGACGCCACGAAGGGTCACGTCATGCAACGGTTCGCGGAGATCGGCGAGAAGTGCAACATCCTCATGAGGCCAGTCCCGGCAGAAGCGCCTCGGCTCAAAGGCAAAGTGGAACGGGCGATCGACTTCTTCAAGGACCATTCCCAGCGCCTGAACCGCGATGTGCAGCTAACCAAGAGCGACGACCCATCCGTTTGGGCTTCGGTGATAGCGAACGCGTGCAACAGTCGCATCCGGCGGAACGGTTTCACGCCCTACCAATACGTACTGGGACGATCGCCCAACGTCCCGGTCTCGCTGATCGAGGCGATGGAGGGCGACCAGAGGCAGTTGGCAGCGCAGAGCGCAGCCCTCTTCGAGGATGGGCCCAGGATGGCCGCGCAGATTCGCGCCGTGGCGAAACGGGCGTTCTTCGAGCTGGACAGCGACGACGCCGTGAGAAGGGCCACTGTGGGTCGAATTCGCCCGCCGCGCGGGCCGTTCGTGCCGGGCCAGCTGGTGTTCCGCTGGCGGGAGGCGAAGCACGTGAAGTCGATGCGGCTCCAGGGCGAGCGCGGGCGGCGCCGCCCGGCCATTGTGCTGGCGGCCGGGGGCCGCGCCGGGCTGCACCTCAGC